AAAAAATGCAAAACTCGGGTATTTAATTAATCAATTAAAAATAATTATTATTTGAATATAATAAATTCACAATTATACAATTAATAGTCACATGTACGTAGTTATAGGTTACAATTTATTTATTGATTACATATTATCAAATTAATTGGTCACAAATTATTTCGAAATCACAAATCAAAAATTTTATAGGTCATAATTTAATTCATTGGCCATGGATAAAAAAAAAAAAAATTATAGGTCAGTTTATCTATCGATCACATATTTTCAAATTTCTTAGTCACAAATTATCGAATTTTAAGGTTACAGTTTAACAATAAGTCACAATGAACCAACTAGTGGTCACATACACTAAACATCCCACCATCTACACCAATACTTGGTCACAAATCAACCAAATAATTGGTCACAAATACTATCCCACCCCGTCCCCTCCACAAAACCACCACAACCACAACCACCGCCAACAACAACCAAAACGCCTATACCACACTACCTACAAAAACACCACTGTCGCCGCCCCCGCCACAACACCAACCCATCCACCACTATCATCCCCTGCACTACAACAATAAAAACCACCGACACCGCCCTCGCCACAACACCACTACAACCATCGCCAACAAAAATTCGCAGCAGAGCCACAATTGCAGCATCGTAACGCTGCTTTCGCAGCAGGGCCACCACCATCGCCGCCCGCACTACCAACAAAACCACCGTCGACATCGCAACACCACCACCACAACAACAAAAATCTGGCGCCTGCGCCACCATAACAATCAAAACGTGACTTTGTCGAAGAGAGAGAAGGCAGATGAGAAACACAAACCCCAATTACTCAGCAGCTTCATCGTTCTCAACCACCAACATCGCGATTTTGTGATCAATTTCACCAGCAAACTCCTTCATCCTGCCTAGTCGACTTAAATTCGAGCTGGGGGCAGCGCTCTAAGCACCGCGTTGTGACACAGCTGCGCTGGAGATTCTCTTCCGGACGAATCTCTTCCGTTGGTGACGTCGCTGCGACGGAGATTCTCTTACAGGGGACGGCACTACTACTGAGAGAGAAGGTCGATTCGTGAGAAGGGAGGTGTCAGTTTAGAGAGGGAGATGAGTGAAAGACATGGGATTGGAAAGAAATAAGGTTTTAATTATTAATTTAATTAATACCTGATTTTTTTTAAAATAAACTTTCGATCTGATTTTTTAATTTGAAAACTTAAATGCCTGGTTTTATGTAATTTCCTCTTCCGACAATATTGGGTTTGATTTAAAAATGAAATAAAATGGGCCTAATTAATCAATTTTTTAATTAAAAAAATCGTTTATCCCTTTAAAAAAAAAGGAAAAAAAAAGTATGAAAGAGGTTAAAATTTGAGGCCCCCTAGCAAGTGAATTCAATCGTAGTTGACCACACTTGCTATTGCTAAATTCAATTAAATGAAGCATTATTATTATTATTATTATTATTATTATTATTATTATTATTATTATTATAAACCTAGCTAG